CAGTTTAACTTTAATGAAAGCCTCTTGCTAAATAGGTCCTTACACTATGTTGGGAATATCTTCCCATGTTATTAAAGCAAGATTGTTTAAAGTATGTTTACCGTAATTATGAAAGTAATACATTTCAACATAGACATCTTTTAAAAATATGAAAAAAACACCCAGGGAATAAAAATCACCCATAATGCCATCATACCAGAATTTTCACAGTTAACAGTTTGTCTGTGGTTGTGTCCGTTACATGTATTGTCTCTAGTTTTATTTGTGTGGTGTGTGGTGGGAGGAATTAAAGCTTTGTGCCTGACTTTTTTTTTCTTAGGTAGTTGAACATTTTCATTAATGGGTACATAGTATTTTATCATGAGGGTGAACCATAATTTAATCAATATACTATTGAATACTTAGGTTTCTAAGAATGTCTCCACTTTTATAACACTGCGTTATTCTTCTAAATAAATCTTGACTTATATCCATGGTGTTTTGTTTTTTGTTTTTTGTTTTTTTAATCCATGAGTGTTTTAATAGGATAGTTTGGTGCTAAGTCTAGAGGTACATGTGGTAACTGATTTGATCCTCACAACGTCCTTACACGGTATATCCTCACTGGATGAGGAACTCGAGGCAAGGAAGAGTGAGGCCTCATAGCTAGAAAGTGGCTACAGCCATTGAGCTGAGGCAGTCAGTCGTACCAGAGTCAAGCTGCCTGTCAGAAATAAGATTGGATTTACGTGGAATGGAACTGATGGCTGGAGTGTACACTCTCTTCTCGTATCTGTGGAAGGTCACCAACCTCTCTGACTATAGGAACAGCCACTGCTGGAAGCCCGACACTAAATCCAAGGAGGGACAAAGCACTTGGTGAGTGAGTTCTCTCACTGAATGGTTCCCTTGCGAGATCCAGGGAGGCCCAGACCCTGCCTGGATCTGCAAGGAAGTTTCATCTTGTGAGGGGCACGAGACTGGGAAGAGGATATGGTCGATGGGAGTAGGTGTAGGGAGTAGGAGTAGGGAGTACGGTAGATGGGAGTGAGGTGCTGGGGGAGGGAGAGGCCCCTTCAGTCTGGGGAACAGAAGGACAGAGAATGCCTTGTGAACAGTATAGAACTGTGTGATACGGTAGCCACTAACCATGTGTGGCTATTTAACTTTAAATCAATTAAACATAAATTAAGAATTTAGTTCCTTGGTCTCACTAGCAACATTCCTTTTCTTTTCTTTTTTTAAGATTTTTTTATTTGAGGGAGAGAGAGAGCAGTAGAGAGGGACAGAGGAAGAAGGAGAAAGAGACTCAGGCAGGCTCCACACTGAGTGTGGCACCCGACATGGGGCTGGATCCCATGACTCTGAGATCACAACCTGATCCGAAACCAAGAGTGGTTTCAACTCCGCCACCCAGGCGCCCCCCTCACCAGCCACATCTCAAGTGGCCATGGCCTACCACACTGCACAGCACAGGTAGAGAACTTCACTGTCATCACAGAAAGTCCTGGTGGACATCGCTGGCCTAGAAGCCTGCATATGGCATCACGTGACCCTGGATCCAACTGGCTAAAGCAGAGACCACTTTGTCAACAGGACATGAGGGAGGTCCCAGGCCCATGTGGTGCCCTGGTTCTGGGCCTTGACTGGTGGACAGGGCTGCTCCCTGTGGAGAGTGTGGCATAAGAGGTGCTCAGTCCTGGAGCGTGTGGCACGGTCTGGGGAGAAGGACACCCATGTGTAGGCTGGGCCCTGAGCGATGAGGGCTGCCCACCAGCTCTTCCTGAGAGGCCTGTTCGGAGCGGCTCCCTATGTCCTTAGGGCAAGCACCGTCACCCGAGGGGACCTGGGGGGTGGCATGCTCCCTGTAGCCTCAAGTCTGGCTGCCCTGCCTTGAGTTTTCCCTTTATTTCCTTATCTTGGCCCTGATGGACCAGGTAGGGGTGCTCCCTATAGAAGAAGCAAAGATAAACCAGAGTTGAGAGAACTGTCCATTGGGAAAGGGTTTACGAGGGTTCTTAGCTTCTGGAGAGCAAGGGTTTAGAAGCCAAAGGTGTTGGTAAGATTGGGGCAGAGGAAAGGTTTTAAAAGAATGAATCCAGGGTGTTATGGGGCAGCTGCCCTTTTAGGGAAGAAATGGGTCTCATCTTAGTATAAGGCTTCTCACTTCTTTTTTTGCTCACAAAGGCTCTTTGGCTTATAAAATCAAACCGTGGATTTCCAGACATCTGAGTGCCTTGGTTATACTTTTCACACCCCACTGCCAAATTGATCAAAGCAGCTTGGCTGTTTGTCTGATCAATCGTGGAAAAACATTGCTCCAGAATGTTCCTTGTATTCTTGGCAGAAGGTTGGCCATGCTGTGTCCAGCCCACCTTGTACCAAGAACCACAGGCAGCAGCTGTCCACCTGGGGCCCACCTGGTCCACCCCATGCTCTCCGCCCTGGGGTGATTGTTTGCCTCGGAGGCGCTCTCTGCTCTGGTACTTGGTCTGGTGACCCCGTCACCTTTGGCTGGAATTCGGTTTATCTGAAGAAACCAAAAACCCTTGTCTGCTCTTGGATGAAGCCCCGTGGCATCAGTGTCCTGAACTGTTCATGACATGAGATTATTGCTTTATAGATTTACAGATAAAAGTAACAACTCCCTAAGTCCCACGGGTGCCTTAATATAACAGGGATGACTGCAAATTTCAATTCCTTTCTCCCCCTTCATTATTCATTATTTCCCTGAGCTTTCGTTGTTGTTTTTTTCATTCTTATTATGGACAATTTCAAAACATCTATGAAAATAGAACAGTGCAGTGAGTGGCAGTGTAGCCCTCAGCCAGTGACCTCAACCAACAACCCTTAGCCAGTCCTCATTGAACTATATCCTGACCCACTTAGTCCCCCCCCATATTATTCTTTAACAGCTTTATCGAGGTATAATATACATCCCACAAAAGCTCCTGGTTTCATGTGTGCAGCTCAGTGATTTTTAATGAATCTGACAGAGTTGTGCAGCCCCTCCCATAATCCAATTGTATTGGATTGGTGTATTTCCATCACCCCTGAAAGACCCCTTATGCCCATTTGTTCCGATATTATTGGGAGGCAGACCTTCTACTGCGTGTTATCTTGTCCATTAATATTTCAGCATGCATCTAATTTGTGAGGCATCCTAGTCACTTGTTACGGTGACATCTGCTTGGGCTGTTCCTCTTCCGCTGAGGCCTAAAAGCAAAGCCCTGCATCCTATGCCCCCTGTCCGTAAAACCCTGGAGAGCCTGGGGGGAAGTGATTACGGAGAAGAGGCCACACCCCCCACCTGGCAGCCATTTTTACCCCGGGAGCGCTGTTGAGACTTTAGCTTAACACCCCCCCAACCCCCCAACCCCCACCCCCGCTCAGATCTCAGTTGACCACTGAAGGCCTGTGCACTTGGAGATCCAACAGGGACTTAGTCATGGTCCCCCTCTGTGTGCCCAGGGGTCAGCTGCGTACACACTGAGGAACAGGGAGCAGGGGTGACCTCAGCTGGGATATGAGCTTAAGAGTCAGCTTGTTTCAAACTAAAGCATTGCTCCGGCATGACCTACAGCTGGCGTGTGCGTATTCTACACACTTCCTGATGACCCCTGGCTTCCGGGTTTGAAGCCTCTCCTTGTTCCAGGCTGCACAGGAAACCAGGGAGTGTCCTGGTCTCATCCCATGTGTCAAGGTGGGATCTCTCCAGAGTGATGCTTCTACTAACTTCCTCTACTCCCCTGTCCACCTCACCCCCCTCCCAGGTGCAGGTGATGGGGAATGCCTCCCCTCCCGCCCGTGCCTGGGACACAGACGGGTCTCAGACTGCAGTCAGCCATCTATCTGTTCATTCATGTACTCACCAAATATCCTTGGGGCACCCAGGTAGCATCTAGGGTTCCTGGCCCTGCGGAGACAGCTGAAGAGTGATTAAAACCCCCATCAGCAGACCCCCATCATCGTGGGGCTTACATTCAGGGATGACAGCCAAAACTAATAATAATAAACAGGTAAAAATAAACAGCTGCTAGGCCATGATAAGGGCTCTGGAGCAGAGTAATTGAATAAGTCGCATCCACAAATGATAAAATAATCATCTTTTTAGAATGCAGTATATGTTTAAGTATGAGCCAATCTTTGAAAAGAAAAAAATAATACATATGTTCTTTAAACATATCTATGTGGAAAGAAATACTCCAAAAGGCGAGGGGTGGTGGTTATCTTTGAGAAATGGGATGAGAGGTGATTTTTATTTTCTTAAATAGACACTTACTTGCATAATTAATTTTCTATCATCAACAGGTATTGATTGTATAATTTGAGTAACTTCGCTTTAAATAGGAGACTTGATAAGAACAGCATTCTTTTTTTTTTTTTTTTTTTTGAGATTTAATTTATTTGAGAGCGAGAAAGCAAGACACAGAGCAGGAGCAGGGGGAGGGACATAGGGAGGAGAGGAATCCCCACTGAGCAGGGAGCCTAATGCAGGGCTCGATCCCAGAACCTTGGTGTCATAACCTGAGCCAAAAGCAGACGCTTAACCAGCTGAGCCACCCAGGCGCCCCATGAACACCATTCCTAACAGGCTATTTCTGAGTTGGAGTCCCAGAGCCCTGCTTCCAGTGGGAGGGACCCTGAGGCAGAGTAGGATTTCCCTTTTATCATGCAGAGTCCTAGGCCATGCTCTGTGCTTGCTTGCAGGGGGTCAGGACAAAGGATTCAAGTCCATGCTGTAAACAGACCAGGAGCTGAGAGAGGGGCTGTGATGAGAACCAAGCAGATCCTGGAGGCAGAGTAGTGGGTAGTTAGATTCAGGGCCTACAGCAACTCTGCCTGGCTTTGTGACTTGGAACAAGTTGCTTAA